ATTGTCCTCCAGCAATGCTCGGAAGTTTATTATAGACCGTCACGACAGATAGCACCAGAGCATCCACGGTCAAGCTTGCATCACGAGTACGTGAAGTAATAAGTAGACGTACTGATCCACGCGCTGCGCCGGAACGTGCTCCCGCAACTCCGTATACTACTGCCATATTGCGATTGCGAGGCAACTTGAGGCGCTGAACAAGCGATTCAGACAACAATGACGTTTCTGAACCAGGGTCCACCAACGAGCGAGCATAATGAAGGTCGCCAAATTTGTCAGCGACTAAGATTCTTGCCGTTGCCAAAAGTACTACACCCGAAGAAGCAGGTGTGCTACGTGCGACGTGAACAACTACAACACTATCACTTACATTTGGTCCAGCCGTGATAGTAGTTTCGTGGATCGTTGAATGGTGTCTTGCGCCACAGGTTGAGCAAACCTTAATAGAAGCGCACGAAGCTAGGTTGTGTTGTCCCAAGCAGTTGAGACACAACTCGAGAGATCCACACATTTTCGTCGTTCACGAGGCTGCTTCTTTCTGTACGAGTCACAAAATAGGAGGAAATGATTTCCGGCACAAAGAGGACAGCGTCCTGATTTCTTGGTTTGTTGCACATGATGTGACCGAGTAGCGCGCGCTGCATTTTCGTTCCACTTTGTCGTGGGGACGTTCAAAGGAGATGGGTTCAATGCTGTGAGTATCTGCAATTTACCCTCTAAGAATCCGTGCAGCGAATCGTATCCTGGAGGCTCTGAAGTTCCACTCACGTTTGTCTCCCATTCGCGGCGCGTACGTGAATCAAGCAAGTTTACTATTAAATGCACGAAAAGATCGAGTGAGCTGAAGATTGGTCGATTGATACCTTCTAGTGATCCGACAGCAGCGGTCATGCCGTGAAATATCCGACGAAGATCTTCAACTGATTCATTCTTCATTCGTGGCAAACTTAGAAATGAATTGTAATAAGAATTCAATAGCAACCGTCGATTCTCATAATGTCCTGAGAGAGTGTCCCATGCTCGTTGAAAGTTTTCAGTGGTGGTCGAGAAACACCGAATAAGCGAATCTGCATTCCCTTTTACATTGGTTTTCAGATAATGAAGACGCTCCACAGCAGAAAGCGTTCGATCTTTAATGCTTATAGATGTGAAGAGATCACGGAATGGCGGCCAATCTTCAAAGCGACCCGAGAAAGTCGATAGTTGAATTCGTGGCAACGTCGACTTCGGTGCAGCCGTCTCCACTGCAGAAGTCGTCGTACGGCTTGTATTGTCGGAGAGAGCCTGCATTGACTGCAGAAAGTCAACAAAGACAGCACGCACTTGTAAATAAATTTCTTCCATGCTGCTAACGATATCGGAGACGTAGTATTCATGCTGTTTGACCCTCTCCCAATGTTCACTCTTCAAAGCTTTATCATTAATTTCAAAATTGGCCCAGTATTAGTCGAGAAGCTTTAAACGTGATTCAATAGCTCCTCGTGTAATCTTTGGTGCAACCAGCTTCTTCAAATTGTCGTATGCACAGGATATTCTTCCGTGCAGTTCGGCCTGTGCACGAATGAGACTTTCCGTTTCTCTACTCATTTTTCTTTCACGTTACACTCACAAACAATAGATCGCCGGTAGTAACAGATTTATCCGATGCAATCCGATG